TATTCAAAACTTCTTTTCGAAACTTTTTCTCCTAAAATCTCGGTCCCGTATCAAGTGCATTTTCAAGTTTCTTTTTACATTAAAACTTGAATGGTCATGGAGTGGTTAGACATATGCCTTCTCCTATCCCGAGTGCTGACATTATCGTAGGGTTCACTGTCGTAAAGTACTTACCATTCAAGATCAAAAAACATTTTTAATAAGAGAATAAAGTTCTCTTTATATTGAACTAAAGAGATAGGATTGAGTGTAGACTTCTTCCTCTCTGAGTGTCAGGATACTCACTGTAGAGTGTGTGGTCTTGATACTCGTCTTTCAATACAAATACGTGATTATAATCACCGCCTCTCTTTTCAAAACTTCCCTTTCAAAACTTTTCTACTCAAGCCTAAAAACCTCGGTCCTGTACCGAGTGCATTTTCAAAATCTTTTCACAATAAAACTTGAATGGTCGTGGAGTGGTTAGGCGTAGGCCTTCTCCTATTCCGAGTGCTTGACATTACCGTAGGGTTCACTGTCGTAAATCACTTACCATTCAAGATCCAAAATATTTTTAATAAGAGAGTGAAGTTCTCTTTGTATTGAACTAAATAGAGAGGATTGAGTGTAGACTTCTTCCTCTCCGAGTGTCAGGATACTCACTGTAGAGTGTGTGATCTTGACACTCGTCTTTCAATACGAAGATGCGACCGTATTCGCCACCACCTTTTTCTCCTAAAACTTCAGTCCCGTACCGAGTGAATTTTCAAATTCTTTTCACACAAAAACTTGAATGGTCGTGGAGTGGTTAGGCGTAGGCCTTCTTCTCTCCCAAGTGCTTGACATTACTGTAGGGTTCACTGTCGCAAAGCACTTACCATTCAAAACCAAAAACACTTTTAATAAGAGAATGAAGTTCTCTTTATGTTGAACTAAAGAAAGAGGATTGAGTTTAGACTTCTTCCTCTCCGAGTGTCAGGATACTCACTGTAGAGTGTGTGGTCTCGATACTCGTCTTTCCATACGAAGACGCTTGTATTCAACACACCTTTCATAACAAAACTTTGAGATAAAGAATTGGATACTAACTGCAAGGGGTTACTATCCGAGGATCTATTTCACCCCTAAAAAAACTCCCACAAATCAAATGTGACATCTTGCCTTGCATGGCGAAAATCAATCTTTTCAAAAAGGATATGTTACGTCCGTTCTATCGCAAACAGGTAACGCCTAAGTCTCCAACAAGCGAGCAGCAATACACCTAAACTGCTAGAATATGTACGATAACATCATCCATAAAAACACCGATTAACGGCTTCACGAACTACATTGCTCTGATTTCTCATGTTTGTTGAGAATACGTAGGCACAAGACGACGATGTCTTGGCGAGCACCCTTTTTCTTTTGTTTCGTAGTTTCACGAACTATGTTGCTCTGATTTCTCATGCCTGTTGAGAATACGTAGGCACAAGACGGTGATGTCTTGGCGAGCACTCTTCTTTCTTTTCCACCTTTTCCACGAGAAGGACATGCTATGTCCGTTCTACCGCAAATAGGTAACACCTAAGTCTCCAACGAGCGAGCATCAATACACTTAAACTGCTAGAATGTGTATGCTAGCATCGTCTACCAGAACTTCCCAGCAAACCGTAGGCCGGACTACGGATGCTCTAATTCTTTATTTCTTTTAAGTAAAGATACGTAGGCACAAGAGCCACAATCCTTGCCGAGCACATTCCCATCCTTTACCCGTAGTTCCCCGAACTACGTCGACTCTGACTTTCTCATATCTGTTGAGAATACGTAGGCCTAGAACCGCGAAGTCCTATTGAGTCCTTTCTTCCCTTTTATCTCTCATTTCCCTGTTTCTAACTCTTCTCTTTATCTCTTAGAACACTCTTAGAAAGCAATAACTTTTAGCAAATATCTTCACACGTCAACAAACAAATGGTTCCCATCGAGTACGATGGATGGGAGGGGTGCTAATACCTTCCCTTCGCATAACCGGCTTCCGAATCCATTCTCTTGGTCGCGAGACCATCTTATCCGTTCTTTTCTTGAGGTTTTCTCGATATTTTCCTTTTCCCTCATGGGATAAATAAAGTTCGGTGGCGACTCTTCTGTCTTTCTTTCTCACCTCCCCGTCCTTGCAATTTTTCGAGTAGCGACAATACCAACCTATTTTTTATATTTTAAATTACAAATAACACTTATATCAACACAATTTTTTATTATTTTTTAATTAGAGTGGAGACCCATTTTATCTCTCACAAAAGTTAGAGAGTCCAAATTAATCTATAAGAAAAAAATTCCTATAAACTGATTCTTTTTTCTACTTTTGAACCGTGACTGAACTGTCCCATGTGAACTATTTTTGCTTTATTTAGTCACAACCATGAGGGAAGTTCAAATTCAAAATTTTCTTCTACTTTATTTAGTTTGTTCTTTCTATTTGATGAAATTATCAAATGTATTTTTAAGTGGTAATAGTTGGTACAACGTTCATTACAATTTTATAGCACTTTATTTGTTTGTTTATTTTGGTGATATTAGATTTTTTAGATTTTGAAGTTCTATTTGTTTGTACAATGTTTTGGAATTTGATGGTACTATAATATTTTGAATTTTATGGTACACCTATAATGTATGTGATAATAATATAGAATTTTTGTTCTTGGTTTCAATGTTAAGGTACTATAATATATGATTGAGCCTATATGTATTTTTTCTGGTTTCAATGTTAAGGAACTATAATATATGATTGAACATATGTGTATTTTTTAGATGGTGCATTTTTTAAGGTATTAAATAGTATATTTTTTGTTTGGGGTCAAAATCTAATTAAATTTTGTAAGGATTAAATAATATTTTTTATTAGGGATCAAAATGTATTAAGTATGGCTAATAATTAAAAAATAATAAGAAATTGTGTTGATATAATTATTATTTATAGTTTAAAATATAGAAAATATGTTGGTTTAGTGGTAGATATAGTTGCCCCTAACCAAGAGGTTTTGGTTCAACCTTTGCTTGATGCAAAGTTTTGATTTCAATTAAATTTTACAAGAAATTTAATAAAGCCTCTTAAATTTTTGTGAGAGACTAAGAGCATCTTTAATGCAAGTTTTCAATAGTTATATTTTTTTATAGTTAACGATGATTATAAAGAATTTGTATTGGAATGGCTATGACATGATATTTAATTCACTAACTTTTAGTTTCCGACAATTATATAGCTAACGTATGCTATTTATTTTGAAACATATAATATTATTATTTATATTATTAAAGTCTTGTAATTTTTAGAAAACAACGGGCATATATTTTTGAAAAATCATAACGGTTATAAAAAAAATTTACTTTCCTATAAATACTATGTAGTAACTTGTAACTTTTTTACACACAATTATACCTTCTAATTTTTTCTTCTTTAATTTTCAATCATATTTATTTATCAAATGGATCCTTATTATAATTATTTACAAACTCCTACCGGTGACGGTTCTCAAAATTTTTAAATGTGTCCACGACCATCGTTCCCTATTGGTGACGGTTCTCAAAATTCTCAACCTTTTATGTTTCAATCACCACCATTCTCTTCCGACAATAATTCTCAATATCCCCGACCTTTTATGTTTCAACCACCACCAACCAACATCACTAGCCAATATACGCATTCAATGGGTACCAACGACGTCGCAGAGTCTTCTAACATTGAATCAGAATCACCAATCGGGTCAACTACAGATTCTCAAGTTCCAGTGTTTCCCACTCAAAAGGGTTTAGAAAATATTACTTTTGCAGAAGAAGGAGAACGTTCAACCCAAAAAAAATAGTGTCTCAGGTTCTTAGAAGAAGAAGATAAATTGCTTATTCAAACATGGCTTAACATTTCCAAAGATTCAATTGTCGGAGTTGACCAAAAAGCAGATAGTTTTTGGAGTAGAATCAAAGATGGCTATAACAACTATTGTGGACCACTTATAACGAGAGAGTGGTCTACACTCAAATCTCGATGGCATCTATTGAATAAACATTGTCAATGGTTTTGCGGCAACTACAAACTAGTTGTTGCTAACAAGAAAAGTGGACAGTCTGAGACATACGTCATGGATGAGGCCTGTAAACTTTTTGTACAAGTACGTCATCAACGTTTCACAATAGAGCACACATGGAGGTTGTTGAAGGATGAGCCTAAATGGAAGTAACAAGAAATGAACAACTCTTCAAAGAGATCAAAGATATCCTCTACCGAGACATACTCATCGACATCTAATCCAAAAAATCTCATAGATTGTTCATAATACAATAGTCCAACTCAGACCGACCGTCCAACAGGACAAAAGGCGGAAAAAAGAAAAGGCAAGGGAAAAGCATCTCCATCTATAACACCCACAGTGGATTTGACTGGCATGGAAAATGCCTCAGAAAAGAAATTAGCTATCTATAGTAAAATAGTTGAAGCAAGGTTGGCAGAGAGCATTCCCATGTTGTATGAAATTCTCATGAAGGACAAATCAACAATGGATGATGAGCAACGTCGAGAGCATGAAGAAATTTGTCAAAGTATCAAGGAGAAGTACTTCAAGAGAAGTTAGGTGTATTGTCATTATTATTATTATTATTATTACTATTATTATTTTTATTATTATTATTATTGTTGTTGTTGTTGTTGTTGTTTAGGTTTGAATATGCATTTCATATTATTGTAATTTTGTTCTAAATGAATGTTATAAAAAAAAATTAGTCGTTATAAAACTAGCCGTTGTAAAACTAGCCGTTATAAAACTAGTTGTTATAAAAAACTAGCCGTTAAAAAACTAGTCGTTGTAAAACTAGCCGTTAAAAAACTAGTCGTTGTAAAACTAGCCGTTATAAAACTAGCCATTACAAAAGACTAGCCGTTATAAAACTAGTCGTTGTAAAACTAGTCGTTATTAAAAACTAACCGTTGTAAAAAAAATAGCATATATATACCTCACATGTTCTCCCATTATTTTATTATTATTATCATATCTTCCATGGATCCAAATGCTGAATGGGATAAAATTTGGAATGAAGTCATAGATGATTGTCTTAACGATAACACTGAGGAAGATGTGATAAGGTTAGTACGAGAGGCGCAAGAACAAGCCAACAACACAAGTAAGCATAGAAAAAGAAGAACGGTGATAGATCGAAGTCGTGAAGAAGGGCATAATCGATTGTTCAATGACTATTTCTCTGAAAATCCTGTATACACAGAGGAACAATTCAGACGAAGGTTCTGTATGGGAAGACATGTGTTCCTTCACATTGTTGGAGCTCTTGGAAATCATGATGAGTACTTCCAAAGAAGGATTGATGCAGTGGGTAGAATGGGTCTTTCACCATTGCAGAAGTGCACCGCTGCTCTTCGTATTCTAGCATATGGATCACCAGCTGACAGTGTGGATGACTATGTTCAAATTGGAGAAAGCACGACATTAGAGTGCTTATACAGGTTTGTAATAGGCGTGTGCACAATATTTGGTGCTCAATGCATGAGAAGGCCAAACAATGAAGACATTGCACGCCTACTACAAATTAACGTTACACACGGCTTTCCAGGCATGTTGGGCTCAATTGATTGTATGCATTGGAAATGGAAAAATTATCGTGTCGCATGGAAAAGTCAATTTTCTAGAGGTGATCACGGTAAACCCACAATTATGCTTGAAGTTGTGACATCTCAAGACTTGTGGATTTGGCATGCATATTTTGGAACTACAGGTTCTAACAACGACATTAATGTGTTAAACATGTCTGATGTTTTGAATGGAAAAGCTCCTGTAGTGCAATACTCGGTGAATCGAACAACATATTATATGGGGTACTACCTAGCGGATGTCATTTATCCTGAGTGGGCGACATTTGTCAAGACCATCCTTATGCCGCAAGGAGAAAAGAGAAAGTTATTTGCCCAACAACAAGAATCAGCACGTAAAGATGTTGAACGTGCATTTGGAGTTCTTCAAGCCCGATTCGTTATTGTACGTGGTCCAGCGCGTGCTTGGCACGTGAATACAATGAAACACATAATGTTAGCATGTATCATATTGCATAACATGATTGTCGAAGATGAGCGAGACACATATGCTGGTAATTTTGATTACGAACACGTTAATAATAATTTATCCACAACTGAAGTCTCTACTGGTCCTGATCCAAATTTGACAATATTGTTTGAAAGGATAGCACATGTTCATCAAAGGCAAAATCATCGTCAACTTCAAGCAGACTTAGTGGAGCATATTTGGGAGAGATTTGGTCATGAGAATAATGAAAATTAGTTTTTGTCTTATTTTGTATTTTTGTTAAAATGTAATTTGTTGTTCATTGTCATGTATTATTTTATATTCCTATGAAAATGTATTTTTTTTATGTATTATTGTTGTTAATTTTATATCATTTTTAATTTTATAATAAAATACAATTTTTATTATTTACAACATTTTTGGGCAAAATGTATTAAAGTACTTTTCGCAACTTTAATAATTAATATATTTTTTAAAAAAAATAATGAATATTTTATGTATTTTATTTAAAATAATTAAATTAATGGTAATTTCAATAAAAAAATAATTACAATTAAAAAATATAAAATATAGGGTCAAGTTTTAGTTTTTTTATAAGCAACTATCATTAAAGTAAAAACAACTCAAATCAACTATAAATTTTTTAAATCCTAAAAATCACTTTGCGCCCACAAAAAATATCTTAATTTATCCACTTAAGATACTCCCACTAAAAATGCTTTAAACTGAGTCTTCACTCTAGAAAAAATAGCTAATAATGTGGTCATTTAATTTTTATTTTTACATATCTTTATATTAATTATATTTAAAAAGAGTTTTAAAATTAAGAAGCTGGACGTATATAATTATTAATGACATGCTTTTATTGAAAATCATTATTAAAATAATCACATTATAATATTAATTATGTTATAATTAATACTATATAATTTAATTAGAAACTAAATAATAAAAAATTGACCCATTCTACTAGGTGCACACTTTTACTAATTTTTTTTTATTCTATTTTTTCTTGTTTGTTTTATATGTTTATTTATTTATTCATTTTTTCTTAGTAAGTATGAGTTCATAAGCCTATTAATTTGCTTTTTGTGTTGTTTGGTGTTACAAATATTAAATTTATCTTTTTTTCTAAAATTTCTATAATGGACTTTGAGTCTTATGTAAGTTTGTTAATTCTCAATTCCATTTTGTTTATTAGCCCGGTTCATTCTACACCCCCAACTTGTTTATTTCTATTTTTCTTATGATATCTTTTATGTTTTTCTATTTTGTTACGTAATTTAGTTTTTATCTAAATAATTCTTTAGTTTATTAGGTTAATTCTAACTTGATTTAGGATTAATTAGAGTAGTTTAAATTTAGTTAATTTAATTAGGTTCTAAAATAAAATAGTGTAGTTTTTAGAAATTAAAAAAAATCAAAATATCTTCTTTTTTTAGGTCAAATATTTATGGAAATGTTTCTTTCTTTAAATATAATTCTATTTCTAAATCATGAAAAACTAATTTATTTCTTTATAATTCAATATTCAAAAAAAAAAAAAAAAAGATAATCACATAATAATTATGTATATATGACCATGACTTTATTTTTTAAACTAAATAAACTATACTTTTACAAACTAAAATGGTTGGCTGACGTCACGCCTTATCGATCAATAATTCAATTAAAAAAAACCTAAAGTCAATTCAAACACATCAAATATTGTTTTCTCTTTCCTTGTGCATTAATACACTTTTTCAATCAAACTTTTCTCCGCCCTTGTGAGTTGAGACCTTTTCACAAATAAAATCAATCAACACACAATATTTTTCTAGACGAACTACAACGCTCTGATTCTTCATAACACTTGAGGATACGTAGGCACAAGGTTGTGACATTCTAACATGTACAATAATAAAAAATATTTTTGTATCCCCTTCTTGATTAAATCTTTTCTTATAAAGCAATGAAATAATCCGAAATAATCCTCTTTAAATAAGTATAATAAAACATCAAGCAGATAAATAAGTATTTAAGCAAACATCCTTTAGATAAACATTGATAGTAATTGTAGAACTATTTGAGGATTCCATTGAGTACAATAGAAATGAGAGGTGCTTAACACCTTCCCCTCACTTAATCGACCCACGAACCCTAACGTCTTACCGTTACTTTTAAATTTTACCATTATTTCTTTATTCCTTAGGTTCAACATTTGTTTCGTGCAAAATTTTGATATCAGTTAAATTTTGCAAGGAATTTAATAGGGTCTTTTTTTTAGGATTAATTTAGACTCTCCAATTTTTGTGAAGGACTAAAATGGATCTTCACTCTAGAAATAATAACTATTAATGTGGTCATTTAATTTTTATTTTTACATATTTTTATATTTTATTTTAAAGAGTTTTAAAATTATGAAGTTTGACATATATAGTTATTAATGATATGCTTTTATTGAAAATGATTATTAAAATAATCACATTATAATATTAGTTATGCTATAATTAATACTATATAATTTAATTAGAAATTAAATAATAAAAAATTGATCCATTCTACTAGGTGCACACTTTTACTAATTATTTTTTTTTTTGGTTTTTTTAATTCTATTTTTCCGTGTTTGTTTTATATGCTTATTTATTTATTCATTTTTTGCTTAGTAAGTATGAGTTGATAAGTCTATTAATTTTCTTTTTGTGTTGTTAGGTGTTACAAATATTAAATCTTTCTTCTTCTTTTTTTAATTTCTACAAAATGGACTTTGAGTCTTATGTAAGTTTGTTTAATTCTCAATTCCATTTTGTTTACTAGCCCTATTCATTCTACACCCCAGCTTGTTTATTTTTACTTTTCTATTTTATGATATCTTTTATGTTTTTCTATTTTGTTACATCATTTAGTTTTTATCTAAATAATTTCTTAGTTTATTAGGTTAATTATAATTTAATTTAGGATTAATTAGAGTAATTTAGGTTTAGTTAATTTAATTAGGATCTAAAATAAAATAGTGTAGTTTTTAAAAATTACAACAAAAAATTATCTCCTTTTTTTAGGTCAAATCTTTATGGAAATGTTTCTTACTCTAAATATAATTTTATTTCTAAAATCATGAAAAACAAATTTATTTCTTTATAATTCAATATTCAAAAACAATAAAAAAAATATAATCATTATGTATATATGACCGTGACTTTATTTTTTAAACTAAATAAATTATACTTTTGCAAACTAAATTGGTTGGCTGACGACACGCCTTATCGATCAATAATTCAATTTAAGAAAAACTTAAAATCAATCCAAACACATTAAATATTGTTTTCTCCGCCCTTGTGTGTTGATATACTTTTTCAATCAATCTTTTCTCTGTCCTTGTGAGTTGAGATCTTTTCAGCCACGACAATTGGCGACCCTGCTGGGGAAAATCCTAAAAGAGTCAATTTTATCCTTTAGTTCTAGGACTTGTTTGTTTTTTATGCTTGATTGTTCTTGTTTATCTATTTTGATTTTACCTATTTATTTTTCTATTATTTCTGCTTTATTTCATTATTATATATACATGTCATTAGTTGGGTTTTTTTATTTGTGTGAGGCTAAAACCCAAGCTTGGAGAAAAATCGTAAGTTAAGACGTAGATCTGTAGTGTTAACCGGTGAGATGTCACATCTCTCAAGGGTACGAGGGCTGCACTCAAAATAGATCCCCCAAATTTGTCTTCATAGTAGGATTATCCCCTCACTATGCTGATGATTTGGATGTGGTCCATGACTTTGGGGACCATTATCTAGAACTCATTTCAACCATGGTGACCTGATGTTATCAACCCATAAGGATTTATGCTAAGGTCTCTCCTAGATGAAACGTATCCCGAAAGGTTACCTTGGTAGGGCTAGTCGTTTCTCATGTTGAAACTATGGATATAGCCCATGACTCTATGACTCTTATTCCAAAATTCTAGATCCTACATGTGAGGGGATTGGGTAGTAAAAACTTAGAGCCATCCTATCATATGGAGCCCTCCCGTAAGTTTTTCTGTCATCATCATATTCTTAAACCCATATTTGGGTCTCTCATGCCGGTCATTATCCCTATCGGTAAGGAGCCTTTCTAAATAAGGTGTCCTTATATTATGCATTATCCATAAACCCATATATGGGTTCATATACCTGTCTTTATCCCTATATGTATAGAGCCTTCCTAAATAAGGTGTCTTTATATTCTGAATCATCCTTAAACCCATATATGGGTTCTCATATCTATCATTATCCCTATCGGTGGAAAGCCTTCCTAAATAAGGTGTCCATATATTCGACAATATCCCTAAACCCATATGTGGGTTCTCATTATCCCTATTTGTCACTATCCTAATGTGACATCTGCATACATTGAAATTTTTTTTAGCATACCTCAAAATAAATAAATAAAATTCTTTTTTTCATACCCTATACATTGTCATGCATCTACATACATGCACCGTGAACCATACCTCTTCCTCCTCCACTAACCATCCTCCAACTGTTATCTAATTAGCAGACTTCCTGATACTAAAAAAAACTCAAAGGATGTTTCAAGAAACAATGGAGAGACTCAAGAAGGGCAATTACCATTTAAGAGATAAGGTGACCCTTTGCCATGCTAGCAGCAGCAGGCCTGCCTAGTGTCTCAAATGCAGCAACCCTAGATGATGTCGCCGTAACAAAGTGCGCAACATTATCTACTTCAGCAGTAGCCTCATGAAATTCATCAATCACAATAAAGGAAGCTTGGAAATAAATTAGATCCCATACCAAAGTCTTATGGGTAACTGCTTCAGCACTTTCTCATAGATGCCCTAGTGAAGCTACAATCACTTTATCCTCCTCGTCCATATCCTCCCAGTTTTGAAGAGAATGCCCGGTGTAAACACAAAGTTTAAGACCTAATTAACAAGCTGTTGACTTTTGAAGGACTCATATTGGTGAAAGGTCACCCCTTACTTTGATAAGTGCAAGAGCATCAAGAAGCATCTCCTAAATTCGGTGGTGGATCAACAATGAGCTCCTAAATTCGGTGGTGGATCAACAATGAAGCTCATCCCAAGAATCATTAGGCTTTTATTCTATTTTTAATTTCTTTATTGTTAAGTTTTACTTGTTTTAAAATTGTACTTTTTTCGGTAATTCTAATAAAATGGGCATGTATGTTTTTGAAATTAAACCTTCGTTTTCACTCATTCTTATGTTATCATAAAAATAATTAAAGAATCGACACAATTTATTTTCACTTATCATTTA